TAGGATTTATCAATGTTAAAACTTGCTTTCAAATCTCTTTTTGATTATGCCAATCTCTTAACTTTATACCAGTTATTTATTTGTTCGATTCGTCTTGCTCTACAATGTGAGAAGTCTCGATAAAAACGAATCCAAAATTTTTGAGAAGGTTATAGTGAGATATCTAAAACGACGTATATTAGTATGCAGTTTCTCGGAAAGTTTTATATATATTGCGTCAACTAATAACACGGAGTTTTCCCGGACAATATTTTTTTTCCTTGACTTTCTACACTAAAAAATATTTCCATTAAGTTTTTTTTAACTAATTTCAAATATTCAACTCGAAAAAAAATTAATGTGACCAGAAAAATATTCTATACTAAAAAATATATTATAAACATATTTGAAAGGTTTTTGTTCACACTCACCATCACACGATAACGTCACATCCGCCAATACGTCCGATTTGAATAGATTTGAGAATGTTATGGCCAAATTGGACGAGTAACTGTTCCATTTTAAACAAAATTGTTGTTGTGGATCCATTTTGTATTATTTTAAGTAGTAGTGATTAATATAATTAATTAAAAATTAAACTCTTAATTTGTTGTAGAATCTTTTTAAAGCACTAACAACGCTTCAAAATTAAACACGAATGTTGTTTTAGTTGCAAGTTACCGGTACGAAACAATAAAACTAAATGWATTAACGCTAAGAACGTAGCTACGTATATGTATATGTGTATTTGTAAAAACAGCCAAATGTTTGTGTTGTTAGCCCGAAAATTAGGAGCTAAGTGTTGTCCAGCAGCCAAAGCGGCAATTAATTGCCACACAAATTTCGACACTATTTCCAAAATGTTAAGTGTGCCGCTGCTTTGGTTCAAGCCATGCACATGCGTAGCTTGTTGTTTTTGTTGTGTTTGAGGACTTTGTTTTCCCCGTTCTTTTCTTTTTTCTTGCTTCTTGCCAAAAATAATTTCTTTCAACACTTTTCTTCAGTGTTTTTGTTGTTGTTGATTGCTGCTTTGATTTGTTTACTTTGCTGCAGTAACGGCATAGGCTTTAACGGCGTATTTCCGCGCCTGCGTGTCGCTTTCGTCCACGTAACTGTATCGGTATCCGTTTTACTCGCACCCGGCGTCGTTGCCGTCACCGAGCTACTGTTCAACGTCGTTGAATTGCTGCAGCCGTTGCCCTTCGTTAATGCTGTTCTAGCGCTTTCGTCGCTTATCGTACTCGTCGTTGTTGTTCTTGCGTTGCTGTGACTCGTATTGCGTAAGCTGCGCGCTTGTTGCTCGTACGTGAAGCTAACTCCGCCAACTGTCACTGCCACTTGCACTTGCCCTTGCTTTTGCTTCAAATTATACTTTTGCCTCTGCGTTTGCGCTTCTATTTGCCTTCGTGCACTTTGTTGTTGCTCTTGTTGTTGTTGTTGTTTTACTGCCACAAAGCAATCCGAATAAATGTTGCCAAAATGAAAATTTCGATAATTTTTTTGCTGCATAAAGTCTATGCGTCGTTGTTTAAGTTCTCTGAAGAATTTCTGATAATGCCAAAGGGAATTTTCCAATTTTGTTGATTTTCTGCTTTTGGGCGTTCTTCGCATTTAACTGGCTTGTAGTGCTGGCTGGCGTGCGCGCTACACCAAAATGCGCCGCTGCTCCTCYTCAAATACAAACGCGAACGTACTACGCAATTTATTCGTCGACACGTGTGCTGTGCGCCTGCGCAATARCAAAGGTTGAGTCGTTGTGCTCCTCCTCCCTTTGCTAGCTTCCTTCCTTTTTGTTTCTGCTTGGCGTGCGTTTTTGCTGCACACACACACACACACAAGTACACGTGGTCTTAATGACGCGTCAATTTATCTTCGAGTTTTCTATCCAAACGCACACGGCGAAAAGCTGCAATGAAAATGAAACGTAGAAAATCATTAATGCAAATTAAAGGCATAAAATTCATTTCATATGAGCATTGTGTGAAACGCATAGACTGCTTAGTGTGCTTAGTGTAGTTGCCTAGCAGGCGTAATTCAATTAGAAAAGTGCATTTTCAAAAAAAAAAAAAAAACAAACTTATGCGCAGACGCCAAAGTGTTTTACTTTGAAATTTATTTTTGGGAAGTTAGATCTACGCAGCAGGCGAGGAATTTTAATATAATATTTTTGGGATATTCT